CTGACCTTGTCTCTCATTACACACAAAGGACTGTTGAAGATAAAAGTCTTCATCTGTGTCCAGACCAGCCCCCCCCAATACAGATACTGCAACAAACGCTTGCTCTGTATAATATCCTGCCAGTTTACTTCAAAAATTATAGAAGAGGTCTTGATTTAGGCATGAGGAGACATTTCTATTCCAGGCCTGGGCGGCTCATCTGGAGCTGCCAGCAGAGATGGATCCAGACAGACACAATGCCCTTCCTGTGAGCAGTGCAAGAGCTATTACATGAGAAAATCCTCTTCTCATACCTAGGCAGGGACAGGATTCCATCTATGACCTAAAGGCATCTGGGTTATTATCTTGTGACCCTCAAATCATCCCTGTTTTTCTGCTGGGCAGCCAGGAATGAGCAGTATTAAATGATATAAACGTACAACTTTATTAACAATGCAAGGAGTGATAATGTAAAAGTAATGCAATTCATCAAGAGAATATTGAATAAAAGTAAAAAGTCTTTTAAATGGTTTCTTTACAAGGTTATCCAGTCAGTGTGTACCACGTTTGTAAGTCATTGTGTATGTAAAAAATTAATGGAAGATTTAATTACAGCAGCATTACCAATGACCTTTTCCAGAATGACTCCATCATGAATCTGTAGGCATTTCAGAACTGTTTTCCAGGTTCCTAGTAATTTTGCTACAAATTAATGACACCCAGCCCTAGCAATAAAAGCCTTGCCTTGTTTCTGTAAAGAAGGGTTTGGGAAGCATTTTGTGGTTTCCTAGCAATGGCTTCACTGTGATTTGTGCAGTTGAGAAGGCGCTTTCCTATTAGTGGAGTTTTAACTGTTTACTCTAAGGGACAGAATATTTTTTCTCCTGTCTAAAGGCAGTAAATTACCATTCCATTGATAAGATTGGAGAACCTCTGTTAACTTGGGCTTAGTCAGGAAACTTACTCTGTCTGAAAGCCATCTGGACTCTTATATTCATTGCTTCTCCAGGCCTTTCAGATCAAACTGCTTAGATGAAAAAATCAAAAAAGGCTTTTCCTGTTGTCTTCTCAAAATAGGTTCTTGAAAACCTAGCCATCTTAGGCTACCTAGCCATGGTAGACAAGGTTATTGAAGCTAACTATTGACTTTCTCCATTGCAATAAGCAATTAAGAGTTTTCAGACCATGGTAGACAAGGTTATTGAAGCTAAACTCATAGTTCATTGTGTGTACATTCCTTTCCCTATATTGTCTTAATAGTTTAACTATATTTAGAAAAAAAATACTCCCTAATTTAGTGAGCAAACTAAGTAAATAAGAAACAAAGACCTACAGAAGTCTGGTAAGATAAATGAGATGGTATCTTTAAAACAACGTGAGGACTCACCAGTTGGGGAGGGAAAAACAAACTCCTACCAGCTCTTCACATTGCTGTCTTTGGGGCTTGCTTTTTGTTTCCCGAAGAGACAGACACAAAAAGAAAAACAAATCAGTTCTGATTGCTGGCATAATAAATATCCAAGGCTTTTTTATCCTTATCCAACAAGGAGAGGTAATCTTCTGCATGCTGTCCTGTGTCTTTCCTTTTACATGCAGCTTTTCCTAGGTCATGCACACTGGATACAGAAATCCAAACTTGCTTCTGGAGCACTTAACATTAAACACTTACTGAAAGATGGTCACTAGCAGGTTAAGATGTTGCAGCTCTGCTGTCTGCTCAGCCCTCTCTGTTGGGCATGACTGCCCCAAAGCAGGTGCGGTGGAGAAGGATGCGTCCATGCTCCTCAGCCACTTTGGAAAATTATCTAGTGATACAGTTTATAAAATTGATGAAAGTGGGGTTCAGCTGCAACACCTAATTTTTGCCCAGTCAGGGCGGGCTTTGTTCCTTATGATGTCTTGTCTAGTCATTTTTAATTCCACAGATGACAAGGGTCTTCATCGCTTCCCATGGAAACCTATTTGAAAGAGTCCAGCAGATCATTATGGATAATGCAGAATTCCTTTCCATTTGCTGCATTTGCTTAGTCTCATAGAACTTCCAAACGTGCCACAGACTTATCCTGAGATGTAACCTTCATCATGCTGGTCGGTCTGTCCATTCAAAAAGAGCCATAGGCATCTGGTTTGCATTTATTATTGGCGAGCAGTACTCATAGGGTTCAGTTGCTTGCTAGCTGCTCTGCATATGAGTAGCTCTTATCTCTGAAGGCAGCATCATAGCGGTTGATCAGGTTTAAGAAGCTTTTTATTAGCAGGGGAAAAAGCTGCCACTTTAGGAATCAGGTGACCCAGAACCATCTCTGCAGCACAGAGGAAAACATCCCTCTCTGTTCACACTCCTCTAATTACATTTAGTGTAGTATTGTTTCCATCTAAATTATAGCAATTATATACAAAGATCTTCTTTGAAATCATTTAATTAAAGAGTAGCTAATGCTCTGTGCTTTTGGAATGCTAATATACTGCCTTCTACTTAGGAAACCATGTTTTTCCCATTAATTATCTTTATCATAGAAGAATTTCAATGGCAGAAGACTTTTTTTTAATACTGTTTTACAAAGCAAGCAGTTCTGCTGAGTTTTGTGGCCAGCAAAGCACAAGGAAAGCTTTTCACTCTCTTTCTGGGTAGTCAGCTGATGTTATGCCTGGGGAATAACATCTTCTTGAGATGGGTTCTATACTTGTGCCTTGGCTACTTGAAGTGTGGAGTTTCTCCGGCCATGTTATCTTCTTGGTTCAAGCAACTGTCTGTGTTTATGTTCTCTCTTCCTCCTTCTGTGTAATAAACACCCAGGTCAAATCCCGAGCAGAGATAAATCTGCTGGCCTAAATGATTCTGCCTCCTATTTAGTGACTACTGAGTCACTGCTTTGCAGAAACAACATTTCAGTCATCCATCAAATTCAGGACAAACAAGGTTCATGGGAAAACTGCTCAGTTATGCAGTAATATTGTGGTGAAACATGCACTCACTAGGAGCATGTGCTGAAAGCACCTGTGTAATAACAGATTCTGGGAATTGCTGGAATAAAGTCTTCTACCTGAGTAGAACTTGGAAGCCTCCTTAACTGAGTATGTCTCCTTCCTTCTCCCAAGTGACCTGGGTTTGCAGGGCATGGTTGGTGCGACCATGGTGACAGGAACAGGCTCTCTCGTGTCCCATGATCATCCTACACAGCTTCACAGCTTGGGTTGTGGTGCCCTGTGGTCTGCATTTTTCTGGGGTAGTTACGCTGTCTGTATATTCACTGGTTATTTCACCAGGAAAAGATCCTGCTAAAAGTGGGTGTGAGATGAGAAATATTGTCATGAGTATGATAATACTGGTCGTGTTGCCTTTAGTCTTATACTATCTAGAGTCCTTTACCAGTGAGTATGATAATACTGGTCATGTTGCCTTTAGGATACACTGAAATGGTCTTATACTATCTAGAGTCCTTTACCATTGGGCTAAGTCTGTCCCAGCTAAGAAGTCAGTGCAGTACATTTTGAATTAATTAGGAAAGTTTCAGCATGACAGAGAGTGGAAGCAGCTCTTGCTGCTTTCTTCTGAGATGTGCATAGCTGAACCAGGCTCTGGAATTAGCTATCTAAAAGCAAAAGGGGATGTGATCAGTCTGGGCCTCTCCCTTTGTACTGAGTAGTGGTCTGAAGGACCTGACTAGGCAGGTATCAGATGCACTAGTGAAAATTTTGGTCCAGAATGCGCCCTCTGCATATAGGAAATGGATATGTATTTTTTTCCTATTGGTTCACCTGAACCAGCATTGTTTCATAGGGAAATTTATAAATCATCTGTCTCTTTTCCTGTTTCACTTTTTGATTGGAATATATAGAAAAATATATATATATATATATATATTCTCATAAGCACAGAAATTATGTTAGTGAAAAATTTGGTAATGGGAAACAACGCTCTTTTTCTCTTTTCTAAATCTTCCAGTAAGGATGATATAATAATTCCTACTGCGTGACTGTCAGAAATTTGGGCTTCATTCATATAAAATTCTTAAAATCTGGAACTTGTATTATAGATGAATTTTTAGGTTTTTTTTATGTATTCATTTGAAATGACAAAAAGTTGATTCATTTCAAATGGGCTCTATCACCGGGGGATTTCTGTTATTACTTGCTTTGAAGTGTTGCCCCTGTCAATAAGAAGCTGTAGTTTTGTTTGTGGCTTTCAAAGTCTGGTCACCTGTGTCCCTACCCTCATCTCCTCCTGTTATCCACTTCTTTGGAAATCCAGCTGCAGCTGATTGAAAAGCTGTTCCTTACTGAGAAAATCATGGCTGGCCAAGGGAAAGGAATCTGTGACTTGATAGAAAACTGAGCACCCTGCAGCACTCGTGGAATGTTTCTAGATAGATGAGCCTTTGTCTGGATAGCTGATGTTATTTTTCAAATGCATACTTTTGCTGTTAATTAGCTTTATTTTGCAAAAGTGTGAGCTTTCAAAATGGGCGAACTACTTGTCACTCCTACTTGCCTCACTCTGCTTTCACCAATTAGAACATAGGCTGCTGTCTTTACAGATTGCTCACTACCAATATCCCAAATATACTGTCAGGTGCTTGTTTTACAATTCATTAAGTAGAAGTTTGTGCAACTAGAAAGTTCGGCACTAGAGAAAGTGAGCCAACTAAGATCGTTTTGAGTCAACCCAACCCATGCATAGCTTTATTTATTTGAATACTTCCCTTGACATGAGCCACTTTACTTTCTAGAATGGTTGTTTATTGTCCTGAGTGATACCTAGTTTCCCCCGTTAGACTTGCGTATTGCCTGTTGTGCAAAAGGCATGGAAGACCTTCCAACACAGGTTGTTCAGAAGACCAGGAAAGCGCTAGAGAATCTCAGGATGTGATAGGAAATGGGGAACAAAATATCACGACTGACTAACGCTTGCCTGCATCAAGCTCTAAGACCGTGTGTTGGTTTCTGCAGTTGAGATTCATAAGAACATGTAAACATATCCCTGGATGACTTGGTATCTTTCTTTTCCTTCCAATGCTTAGAGTTTTTGGCCACTTCAGTCTCCGTTCGGAATGGCAGCTGGTCAAGGTGGACTACAAGTCTCTCTTCAGCCGGAGGTGTAACAAAGATGACTACCAAACGTGGCACCTGCATAATCAGGTACTCTCACCACGTAGGGAGGGGATGGAGGCCTCCTTTTGTCATACTCTGTGTTGCCAGTTTGGGCTTTTGGTATCCATCAAGTCCCCATTTAACCCGATGATGCTGTATTTTCCCTAAAGCACATGCGTGAAAAAAGTTCCATCTTCTCCAGGTGAATTAGGGAGTTGTTAATTTATCTTTGTATGAATTTCACCAGCTAGATCTTTTTACTCTCAGTGCTCAGGGCGATGCAAAGACTCATCTTGTGATTGAATTGTAGGAGACATTGAGCTCTTTGTTGCTCTGTTAGTGACTCAGGAAAAAAAAATTCTTTGACTCTATTTCTCTTACTCAAAAAAAAATTGAAACACAACAGAATAAAAATGTTTATACATCCTGCAGGTGTCTGTAAAACTCTGGAGAACTATTGAATAAAAGACACCTAAGAATGAAAAAAACACATTTTATTCAAGAGTATATGCTTTCCTTTTCATAAACCCAGCTTAATTTCATGCAGGATAGATTTAGGTCTTGAAGCCACTGGAAGCTTGGTACTCTTGCAGATTGCTTAGGGGTTACTGGCCAGGTGTGATCTCCCACTCCCAGCAGAGGTATTGAACTGGAGCCAGAGCTATCGTCACTGTCACTTTCTGGAATGAAATCTGTGAATTAGAAGTGAACATTAATTTGGCAAGGATGTATCAAATGGCTGAAGTCATAAAAGAGAATAAATGAAAATAATTTAAATGAAAGAAAAGGGAGAACATGTGAGAAAACAGACATTTATCTTGGGAATCAGTAGTAATGAGAAATAGAAGTATTTTAGTTAGGCATTCTCCTTTTTTTTCTTACCTTTATGCAGACAAGTTATTTCTACCTCAGAGAAAGTTCTGTTTATAATAGTTTGCCTAAATGTCAAATTTTTTTTGGAATTACTTCCAACAGTGCTCTTTAGTGTGCAAAAAGCTCAGTGTAAAATACCATCAGAATTACTGGAGGGATGTAACAAAGCCAGATTTTAGAAAAAGAAAGCCAGGACTACTAGGTTCTAACCTAGGATGTTCCCAGTTTTGGGCTTGGGTGGTTCCTCCCATAGTGGATGACATCTGACATGTGGGAGAAATCCTGACATACGTCCCTTGTGTTTTGAGGATTATCCTTAGGACTGGATATGCTAGTGGATGCCATCTGAAACACAGTGTAACCAGGTGCCTGTGATGGTTTGGGCCCCTTGGCACTTTGGGCATGTGGTAGCTGGCATTCTTCTTCATTAGGGAGCATCCTTTGCTCAACTCCTCTCAAGAGGGATTTTGCAGTGTTGCTCTGGTGATGGGAGGTGTGATTGAACTGTGCTTAAGGACAGCTTTGCAAAGCCAAAAAATGAAGCTGGACGCTTAACTCGCAAATCTTCCAGTGGTAATTGGATGCTTTAATTGCCTTTTGTGTCTTTGAATAATATAGTCTGTTTAGGGACCAGCTGTGACTACAACTCTCTGTTCTTTTTCCTCTTTTTCTTTGGTTGCTGAAGGGGGAGCCTTGTGTCATGGGAGAGAGGAAGATCTATAAAAAACGCAAGCCGGGAGCCCAGTGTTCCCTAAGCTGGGACTTCTCCCAAACTGTAGTGTCTGAACCATGTGTCTGTGGACACGGAGACTTTGAGTGGTGAGTACATGACTCTGCTAACTATTGAAGGGTCTCTCTTGTGCTTTAGCAGTGGCTGAGTTACCTGTCTGGACAGAAAACCCTGCAGGGAAAGTGGGTCTTATGCTGCTTCCTGGCTGTAAGGGGACCATGTAGCACAGTTTTGCTCCACATGCCATGGAAGTGTGGAACACCTCAATGCATGGGAGGTATTGGCTTCATCTGTGAGGGAGAGCTGTTCGTCTCATTGGAAATTCAAACGTGTAATTCAAAGCAGGAAATTGCAAGTGTTAATTGACCTTTTTTTGACTGTCATTTTAGAATTGTGACAGCCAGCTGCTTCTCTTTGGCCATGCCTTACAAGAGGATGAAGGAATCTCTCTTTCATCACTTCCAAGGTCATTGAGAACCTAGGGAACAAGCCAGAGATAACATACTTTTTTTTTCTTTTCATAATTTCTCTGAATTTCTAGGAACTATTTGTTGCTTTTTAGCACTGTTTTATTGTGAAATGCACTGAAACTACTCTGTGACACGGTTGTGCAGCCCACCCTTGTTTGATGTAGCCACTTGTGTTGCATAAGTATTGATGCCTCTAACCTAATGGGACTAAAATTTCCAAACTGCTTTAAGGTTCCTTTGGAAAGCAACTTTAAAAAAAAATGGGTAAAGAGTGAAGCAGTTTGATACTGCTCTTACACTCAGAGGCAGGAGTTCTGGAAAAGGAGCACTATCCAGGATCTCTGCGCAAAGAATTCTTACAGTGGACCTGTGATAGATTACTCCTGAAAGAATTAAGACTGTCAATAGTTGTAATATTTGGACTTAAATGTTCAGAATGTCATTGAAATAGGGTTGAAAATATCCTAAGAACAGATTGGCTGAGAAAATACTTCTGTTTTTATAATGAATTATCAGGATCATCAGCTTATGCCATATCAGTGTGCTTTCATAAAGGTTATACTTTATATACTCTTATATATGTACTTCACTTATACTGTATTCTTTCCTAAAACAGTGTCAGGTATGAGATCGGCACACTTAGCAGGACTTAGGCCAGCTGATACTCATAGCTCTTTTCTAAAATGGACACTCAGAAAAATAATTAAATAGACTAAAATGTTTTCTTCAGCATTGGAATAGTTTTATTCTAAGAGAGATTCAGGGATATAGAGCAGAGATTTTCATCTTATCTGGATGGATGTTTAATTTGTTTCTAATGCTAAAATTACATCTGAGACTCCTTAGTTGGACTCATGAGATCTGTCCTCGTTGTTCTTATCCTGGGGACTTGCAAGATGAACAAACTTTTCTGCTTTGCAGTACCTGCCCTTAACGTTGGCATGCCACCGAGCTGAACCAAGTACTGATCTCTGGAGATGCCTTTGAATCTGCTCTTTGCCACTTTCTACCTCACCAGCTTTCTCATTTCACAGTCCAACCTGTTGTCTCTTCTAAGCCTTAAGTGGAAAACCACAGTAGTTAAATTGCCCTTAAGTACAGTTCTGTCTTGAAAAGAGACTGCATCAAAATGCACCTTTACAATCAATTGACCTGTTCCTTGCAAACACTGAGTATCATTGTTGCTTAGCTTTCCAACTAAAACGAGAGAATATTGCTTCTAGCCCTTCAAAGGGAATACAATTACAGGACACTAAGCTGGGTTTTGTTTCAGACTCTGCACTGCCAACAGAATTGTTCATGGGGTTCCAATTGCAAAATTGTTATGGCTGATGGTGGAGGACTGGAAAGAACCAGCTTTAGTTTAAGGATGAGTTTTGGTCCTAGTTTGCAGGGCTGACTCGGTGAAGGTGTGGGACAGTAACAATTTAAAGAAACCCCTCGTAATGCTGCAAAATAGGATACCAACATGGAGTTACATTGAAATAAGCTAATTTTCAAAGATGGAGGGTACTTACACATTCTGACTTCTGCTGTCTCAAGTGTGAGACAGATCCTTAGTGAATGACAAGATATAGGTTATTCTAGGACATGGTTTATCTGCCTCCTTTTGTGTTTCTGTATGAGAAGGCATGGTGCTGACACACTTTTCTGTCTACTAAATAGGAGAAGGGTCTAGACCAGGAATTCTTGGAGCTACGTCTCCACTGTAGGTATGTACAGTTGGACAGGTGTCTCCTATGCTTTCACTTGGTCCTTTTGAAACAGATGTCCACTCAGCCGTTTTAAGTTGGTTTCACAGATTTGCCATTTCTGCCTGGAAATTTTGACTGCTCTGTCTCTTGTGAGCTGAATGGGTCTGGTGGAGAGAGAGAGAAAGGAGAGGAGGTGGCAAATGGGGTCCTGTAAACACAAATGCATGACCTAGGGCACCTTCTGGGCTAGGTAGAGCCCTTCCTACCTTTGCACACTTGGATAAAACCACTTCATGGCTTGCTTCATGGCCAGTGGCTGAGTTTACTGGCTAGCAGGTCCCAAAAGATCATCTCTAGGCTTCCAGCAAGCAGGTTTTGGGGCTTGTTCTGGTCACAGAGCATCCCATACTATCATGTCTGCCCTTCAAGTGCTGGACAGGCAGACAAATGATTGTAGGAGCCCTCCAGGGCAAGCTGGGGGCTGTGCTACCTCCAATACGGTCCCAAGCCCTTTGTCCCCATCTGCCTTTCTCATATTCCAGAGATATCTGTTCCTTGCTGCTAGATATAAGGCTGATCTGAAAGATCCAGGACCTCACAAGCCAAGAGCAGGGGTAACTCATGCCGACTCTAGTAGTCATTGCAGAGCTCCTTTTTTTGTTCTTTTTTTTTGTTTTTCTCCATTTTTTTGTTTGCTCCTTTTTTTTTTCTGACAGAATGGCAGAAGAAGCTCAGAAGTGTTATTAAAGTGCTCACTGATCTTTCTCTTCCCTCCTCCTGCTTCTTTATTTACTCTGTCAAGATAACTTTCCTGGGGAAGACAGAGCAGCAGCTGGACTTGATTATTTCCTTAACTTATGCAAACCCCGGGGCTTATGAGAAAGAAGGTGGGCAGCATGTGAGGTTTTAATATACATTTACCAGAAGTTAATGAACAAGCACAGAACCTTGAGGCATACAGCAATGTTGTCTTTAATTTTATTAAATATTTATGCAGCTCTTTTCTTCTTTGGGGCAAAGTACAGCTCCTCCTGAATATTTTTAATTACCAAGTCACTGCTAGGCATTTTTGACTGTGCAGGTTGGACCCACTGAGAATGACTAAATTGAATGTTGAGAGAAAAAGCATTAGGGAATCTCTGAATCTTTTAAAGTAACAGAATTTTTGCCCTTCAAAAAAAGTAACAGTAGCAGCTGGGGTCACTGGAGACATAGCACAATTTTGCCTTACCAAAGCTCTTCCTGGAGACTTCTGTTGGCAATTCAGACTCTGAAGGGGTGAAAGATAAAACACAGAGTATCTTAAAGGGCACAGAGAGCTTTCAGTGCAGTGGCTTCTGTGATGTCTTTGTTTCCACAGAGGTTCCATGTGTTGGCATTTGCTGACTTGCTTTAGGCATAAATCCAGGATCCCTTTTTGTTCCTCCCTTGAATCCAGCCTGCCAATAAGGGATATGTGTAAGAACCTAATTCAAAGCTTATTAAAACTTAAAGAATGCTTTGGATTAATCCTATTGCTTCATTATTGTATTGGCATGCAAGGGCAGCTATAAAAATGAGCTGTGTGTGCTTCCACTCTTTGGTGGCCCCAGAACACACCAGCATTCTGGATTGCCTTCCCACGTGACACAATGTCATGTAGTCCTTAGGCTATCAAGCTGGGCTGAGTTGTTTTAGGTGGTTGTTGGAAAAGCTTCAGCTTTGTTTTTTTTCACTGGCTAGTCATAGCTTGGTCAGAACAGGAAGGCCATTAATGTATTTACCTTGGCCAGCTGCTCAAAAGCGCTCCTAGTGTTTTACATTCCTAACTACTTTCTTGGGAAAAAAGTGGCATCTTGGAATTAGTCTGGTGTGTTCTGAAAGCAAAGACTGAAAAAAGCAAAAAAACAAGAGAACACAAGAAAATAAATTAATATGGATTAATAAGAAAAAATACCCAAGTATAATCTTCTTTCTGAACTCTTGCCTCTGTTTTGTTTGTTTCTGAGCTCCTGCCTCTTGTTTTTGAAAGAAAAGTCTGCTGGTGCTTTGGTTGGTGATCTTGATGCTGTCAGGTCTCACTTATCCTCTAAGAAAGTGTTTCTGCCCCTCAAACTAATGAAACATTTTATCGTGGATAACCCTAATCCATGATGTCGTGTTGTACAGCAGAGCACCACTAGCAAACACACGTTGGGGACAAAAGTGTTACCTAAATCTCTGAGCTAATTCTAGGGAATGGGTACCAGGATGCACTTACCAACTATTGTCTCCGTAGTGACTATGGCTATGAAAGACACAGCAACAACCAGTGCGTCCCAGCCTTCTGGTTCAACCCATCCTCCCTGTCCAAGGATTGCAGCATTGGTCAAAGCTACTTGAACAGTACTGGGTAAGTGAGCCTAAACATCTCTCTCTTTTTGGTGACCTTGCAGTAGGCAAGAGAACCTAGATGGTCCTTATTCTCTGCATCCCACCTGGCTGTTTTCCAGGCTTTCTTGTGAGGTAATATTTGCAGCAGCATCTGTGTGGAACATTGCCTCATTCTTCAGAGACAGGGAGAAGCACATTAACATAAGTGACAGGTAGATATTGTATTGCTATCAAGTGATGTATGATCCCTGGAGCCCAGAGTTAGAGCTCCCCTTTGCTTCAAAATTAAAACACGAATCAAGAAGGTCTATCTGAGCGGCGTCTGAACATTTAAAAGGACAGGCTTGAGGTATTTTACATCATTTTCTGTGGAACCTCTTCCCATCTTACAGCTCTTATTTATAACATCTTCTGGGGAGGCTCAAATGTGCAATTTTTGTCCTCATGGTTTTTTTTTCCCCTGTCATTCTCACTTGGTGTATACAGTGCCTTGAGTTTCGGAAAAGCTACACGTGCTGGTTTTTCATGGTTTCATCTGGAACTGATGGCAAGTGTTGGTTTATTAGGGTAGTGTTGTTCTGGAAATGCTATTCCATTATGGTGGGGTCCCTCTGAAATGCTGGTTCCACATGCTGCTGTGGAGCTGCCCTGGTCCTTCCCTGATGCTGTGTCCTCTGATGGCTTTGTAGGGCTGCTTGTGAGCCACGGCTCCTGCAAGCTGGTTTCTAATGACAGGACTGTTCACAGAGGGTGATTAAAGGTGGCTGAAGAAAGTGGGGCCGCCGTGAGTCTGGAGTCACTTTACCTCAGATACACTCTTTGAGCTGAGAGATTGCTGTGAATATGGGACGTGAGTGCAGGAGTCCTGGCCAGTGTGTCCGCCTATAGGCTTCACTACAGAGAACAAGCAGAAAATAGCAGGGCTCTGGGTCTTATTCCATCCTGTGTGGCCAGTGGGAATATTTTGAAAGGGGCGGATCCCCCTAAACAACACTGCAAATTGCCAAGTATCTTGCAAATTAGCTACTTTTTGGCCTCCAAGCAGAGCTAGGCAAAAACAAAACAAAACAAAACCACACATTCCTTGATTTTTTTAAAAATTGGAGTGGGCAGAGCCCTTGCCAGATCATCCAAGTGCCTTCTAGCAGAATAGAGGCAGACACAATTTAATAAAAAGCATAATAAAAAGCTTGTATGCAAGGGGCAATTCTGCAGGCACCAGTAGTTTGGGGCAGCACTCTGGCTTTTAGCAATACAGAGTAATTCACCTCCACAATGTGTGTGTCTTCTCTGTGGTGCCACTGAGAATCTCTGGAGAAGGTTGGATTGTGATTTGTTTGGTTTTCTCTAGTTTAATAAAGCATTAGGGTTCTTTGACTCTTCCTTTCAGTGAGACATTCGTGCAGGCAGTTATTCTGAAAAAAAAAAGGCATACGCTAATACAGAAAAACAAATAAATGTTTCCATCCTCCTCCTGAGCCCTCTTTTTGTTACAACTTCCCAGGTACCGAAGGATTGTATCTAACAATTGCACAGATGGCTTGAGAGAGAAGTACATGGCCAAGATGGAGAAATGCCCTGGAAAAGCACCTCGGGGACTGCACATCCTCACCAGTGATGGAAAATTGGTCACAGAGCAGGGACACAATGCCACCTTCATCATCCTCATGGAAGAGGTGCGTCACTGTGCTCAGAGAAGCTTTGCAGTATCTCGTGACTGGCACCCTTTTCCTTCTAGCTGCTAGGCCAAGGAGAGAAAAATACTGGTCGGGTGATGGTCACAAAATGCTGAACACTCTGAGACTTAGGAGACAGACAAGTCATGAACATAGGAGCAACAGTAGCAGGACAGACTAGAGAACTGCTTCTTCAGGATCCAGTCTGACAGTAAACAGTATTGGATCTCTAGGGAAATCATATTAGAAACAGTGCAAGTGTAGTGTCTCTTCCCTTCCTAATGCCAGAGGAGCCTGTTGACAGTTTGGACCTGCAAGAATACAAGAAACTGTGCAAGCCTCAGATTTTTTTTCTAATGATATATAAATATATTATTAAAATACACCTCTATTAATTTAAAACCTTCTACAGAAACTAAATGCTGTGTTGGGACAACTCTAATCTGACAGAGCCTCTTTACAGACATCCTCAGAGGTTCACACATGCTCTGCTTTTATACAAAGGGGATTTCTTGTCTACCTGGCTGATTCTTTTATATTCTGCAGACTTGACATGATAAGACGATTTGTGTAGACGCTAGCGAGTGGGAGTTCAGAAAAGAACAGACATAATCTAAAAATTAGGAATCTAGTAGTAATTTATTAGGGAACTCAAGTGGAACTGCATATAAAGAATGATAAACAGATGGGGAATAAAGGAGCAGTCAAGTAGCTGAAGAGTAGAGTCTTTACAAGCCTTTACAAGACTTCAGAGATTGAAGAGGCAGCTGAATAAATAGATGAGGATCTTTAGCCCTATGTCCTGTGTCCAAAATAAGGATAGTTAGAAAATTATTTAATTGAAACAGTTCTTTTCTGAAGGAAAAGGATTTTTAAGTACATATCCTCGTGGGTGAACAGTATATTCCACAGAGAATTTTGTGCTGAGTTTATTTCTTGAAAGAAAGCAATTTGAAACGGGCAGGGCAATGACATTTGAGGCAAAAATATTCCGATCTTTCAGTGTGAACTGTGAATGTCTGAAGGCAGAATCAGGAAAACAAATTAATTTTCATCCGAATGTTTTCTGATAGGTGGAGAAAATAATTTTCCAAGAACCTAATTATTACATGCCCTGCTGTCATGCACATTGATTCCTGCCTCCCTACGTTTTCTCTGCTTGGTCTCTTTCTTGGTGCTTTGTACTGCACCTATGTCTATACTCGTCTTCTGAGCTGAACTGTAGACTGAAAAGCCTTCTGATGGGCAAATCTGCAGCCTCTGTTCAGCCTCTTTACTACTCCAGACCAGCCTAAATGATTGTTCATTTGGCAGTGCTGTCACTGAATCTTTCTGTCCCAGATCTACTGTTTGTACTGCCTCACAGCTTCTCTCTTTCAGTAATTACACAGTGATCATAAAGCTCAGTAGAAGGGTGGTAACTGCAAATGAGCTGAGAAGACAAGCGGTGATACTCAAAGAAGTCCAAGTAGCTATTAGAGCTCTGCAAATCCATTAGCAGATTGCAAAACCATATTTGTAAAAAGAGATACCCACATCCACATCATATCTTCATGCAAACAATTTGACAGCTGTATTAGAGAAACACCTTTGATTTCAGCAACAATGGGGTTCTGTGCCTGTGAATATGGGAAGAAAAGTTCACTCCAGAACCCCTTTTCTACCAGCAGTTGCTTTGTTTCTGATCCTTGGTTCTTGTTGAACTAAGATTTCTCTTACCTCTGCCAAACAATGTGGATTGTTTGAAGTTGTATGACTGAAATATATTCTGTAGACGCACACACACTGGATGTTGAGGCTTGGTTCTTAACTTCAGATAGCCAAAATTCAACAACCTCTACAGTTCTATCATGTTGCTAGAGCGGCCTCCAGATAGGAGAACTTTCTGAGGCTAGTCTTGGTGGGGGTACAGCTTTGAAAGAATCTTACCTGGGAATATTCCTGTCCATCCTTTCCACTACCCCTTGCCTGCCCACTGAATTCAACATGTGGAGCTCCAGGCTTTGTGCCAGCCCTTCGTTCATCTTGTTTTGGTAGTTTATGGGCTTAAAGCAATAAAATGCACTTCTTGAATACGTATGGAGAGCAATTGTTTTTATCCATTTGAAAGGGCTCCATTTTTATTTTAATTTACATTCATAAACTCCAGAATATCTGACACCATATGTAGGGATAGCGTTCTGCTTTTAAACAGAATTAGTGTGCAAAGGCTGGCATTGCACTAAAAACCCCTCTTTCATAACTGGGTGGAAAGATCACATGCCACTGCTTACCCATGAGAAGTCTGTCTGTTCCTGGTGATTCGCTACTTCAAACCTTCTCATTTCAAAAGGAATCAGATTGGGGAAGCAAGAAGGAAATAGAAAAGAAAATTTAAGGCTTGAGAGGGAAGCTGACGAGGCAGGTACAAAAGTTTTCAACCCAAGGTCACCAGTGATGAATACAGCACAGATCAAATTTTTATCTTCTGTTCAATGTCTTCCACATGAGATGAGCTTGTGGTCTTAATACTTTCCCTTGAGAAGTAGTTCCAAAGGATTTAACAAGCTGTAAGAGCCTTTCTACCAGATAACTCAATATCCCAGGGGTGTAATTTTGTCCCTGCTAGAGAATTTCATTGAATGACTCAAAAAACTTTGTCAGAAAGATCTTATTGGCTATTCAGTGTTACCTATGGGTTTTGGTATCACTTCCACTCTGGTCCTCTATATTTTAGTTTTGGTTTCTGATATATTTTTCATGTCCTAATAGGACAAAGATGAAAATGAAGCCCTAATAAAGTCAATTAGCAAAATTCCTCTGGTTCCTGTGGAGTGGGAAGGAGAGAGAAATAACGCTGAGGCCTCTGAGTCCTGCGGATGTCTCTTTCTCTGTGAGAGCCTTTGTTGTATGATGGCACCTTTGTTCTTAGGTGCTGGTCATTTGTGTTAGAGCAGACTGTGAGCTGTTTCTTGATTCAAGGACCTTATTTCCTGTGATATGCCTTTCTCCTGACTGTCCTGGAATGATAAGAAGTCATAATATGAAATGGTTATGCAGAAAGCTAAAGAGATTTAATCCGATGTTTAGTTTTAATTCAGTTCAATGCAATCATTGCAGTGGGCTTTCGTTCTTTCTAAATTAGCCTTGTTTTGTGTTACTTGTAATCAGTTAGTTTTGTCAGCTGGGGATAAATACAAAATAAGGCTCCCAGGAACTGAAATAACAGACACTCCTCCTGTTCAACTACAGTGGTTTAAAGCGTGACTTAAATTAAAACAGTGCAGTTACTGCCTCTAGACAATACCTGCAATTCTAGAATCTCTTGTCTGTTTTTTCCTCCTTCATTTAATAGCTGTCATAGAGAGTAATCCTAAAAGAAATTTTCTCGTCATCTATTCCATTCTCCTGTGTATCACCAGGCCCTATCTCTGTCTTGACTGGCATTAGACAAAAGCTGTCAGTCCTCTGTGTGGAACTCAGCCCACATAAATTCAGCTGTCCAAAAGTTACATGTTTGGCTGAAATTAGTCATCTAGACTCTCTCTGTCATCAGGGTAGGTAGACAGACACTTGCAGAGGATAATTCATGTCACCTGTCTCAGACACTTGTTTTAGGATGGGATGTATTGGTCTGTGCAGGTCTCTCTCTTTCCACTATCTAGCCAGGAAGCCTGGAAAACTAGTTAAACTTAGAGTGTCTCAGTACCTGGGTACCGTTTCTTTGAAGTGTCTTGCAGGGCCACATCAGCAATTGTTCAGTCTCCAGAGTGTCCTTAATGATCCGGTATGTGCCTGGGAATTGATCTCAAGTAGATATCTACCCTGTCGTGAATGTAGTGCTTCCCATCCCAGCTGCCTTTAATGGACATCACCCATTCAGCAATGGGTTGTGCAAAGGCCTGGCCATTTCACTGACACTCAAGCACCAAGTGTGTGTTGCACCAGGTGATCCAAATGTGGTCACTCTGACCAGCCAGTATCACTGAACCCAGTACGGTGGAACAGCATCTCATTACAGCTGTAAATTTCGAAATAATCCAAGCATTACTGGTATAAAATTACCTCATGCTGATTTGAGTCTGGCCCTGTTAAGGATTGGCAGAAGAAAGCAAGGCTTTTTTCGGGATAAAGCTCTGGGTTTGTGTTCCTGCTAATGAAATGGAGCTGAGTAGTGGAATGAAGGGTATATAAATGATTCTTACTAAACCAGTCTCCTAATTCAACCTCTCTGTTGCAGGGCGATCTCCAGAGGACAAACATTCAGCTTGATTTTGGAGATGGCATTGCAGTGTCCTATGCTAATTTCAGTCCTGTTGAGGATGGCATTCGGCATGTTTACAAGAGTGCTGGGATCTTTCAGGTGACAGCATATGCCGAAAACAGCCTGGGCTCTGACACTGCTGTTCTCTTCCTGCATGTGGTCTGTAAGTACTCCCAGATGCTGGACTCCATGAATGAAATCCTGACTCCGCTGAAAATCCCTGCAAATTCAGCGGAGCTGAGGAACTCATGCAACTTCACCTACATAAACAACTCACACTCTTCCAAAGCCTTAGCCTTTTAGGCTCCCTCTATCTTACTAGATGAATGTTACTGAGTGTCTTAAGAACATGCCTTTTTACATCAGTATGTTTACAGCCTGAACAGATACAGAGAAAAGCTTGAGAATTTTTCTTAAGGTTTCTGAAAAGGGTCAAAACCCAAGCAGATTATGAAAGAAGGTCCAAATATGCGTTTTCAATGTCTTACTAATAACAAAGAGGTTTCAACTAATCTGCCAAGTTTTGAGCCACCTGTTCAGAATTTGGGTGATTTCAGTGCTGACTGCACATGGCAAAAACATTACAAAGATCACAGTTCCTGGGGTATGGATGTGCTGATGAATGTAATACTTTTCATGTTTCATGTATTTGACATGCACACCTGACTTGCCCCTCCACTTGGAAGGTGAATACAACTTCCCTCCACTTGGCACATGATCAGACTGAAGTGTAGAGCCCTTAAGGGAATTTTTCAAAGCCACAGGAAACAACAAAGATCGTAAAACCTAGGGTAAGATTTGGGCGATCCTGGATCTTTGCCCTGTTTTCAGGCTGTTAGGTCCCCCTCTGTGTTTGGATGCATCTTTTAGGTTGTGCTCCTGGCAGTATTCCTAGGCTGTGTACATCTTTCTGCTTTGCTTGTTGGGATACCTTCTCTCCTGTCTGCCTTTTATTTGATCTTTTCCACAGGAAGGAAGCAAGTCAGAAATTTCCAAAGTAAAGATCATTTTTCTTTCTAATTTCAAGCTCCCTGTGTGAAGGAATAAATGTTCCTTGAAGCTTTTACCGTGCTCATAATTCCCTCAAAGTCAATCATGGCTGCACTTAACAACTTGTTATTAGAGCATTAACTGTTTTTGCCTTCACCTTGGGCCATTAGCTGACAGAAGTGCTGGTTACCTGGTAATAACAACCAACTTCATGTGGATTATCTAAATTTCTCATAGGAACAGCTGTTTCACAGTGAGGATTTTGGAGCAGAATGCAAAGAGGGCAGTTGTTTGGCCTTCTTGTGTCACTGCCCTCTTCTGCCTCAGCATCTCGGATCTCTCCTTTGACCTTTATAGCCTTTTTAGATAGCCAGCTTATATATCAAGAGAAATATTTTCTAGGTATTTACATTCAAACAAACAAAGGTTTAGCAGTGGTCAATATTCTTCTTACTTGTTTGCTGGTAGAGATCCCTTTTGAAATGGAGAACAAAAAGAGTTGATTTCAAGGGGCCAAAACCAAGAACAGGACCCCATCGTGCGAGGAGCTGTACAGGCTGATGGTAAAAGAACAGCTCTTGCTTTACAAAACTCTTGTAATCCAGGTAGGTGAAGGAGTGGCTGATGTTCCCATTTCACACCTGAAGAGCTCAGTTTAAACCAGCAAATCTCCTGCTTCCCCAAATAAGTGTCTTCTGTGAAAAATATTTCCCTTCTTTCTTATTTTTGTCCTCTCCTTGTCACTGTGAATGAAAGTCTAGCACTATTACTGAAAGTAATCACTATTTTCTCCATCTGTTTTTTGTTTTTGGAAAGGAACTGGCTTCTTAATTTTGGACTGGACTTGATGTGCTGGATTAGTTCTGAGCATTTACTTCTATTACATTTAATTTTACATTGAAACTTTTTATTATTTTTTAAGTCTTTGGGAAGCAACCCGATCACTACCTTAAATGCTTTGGCATGACGTCATATACATCTTCCAGTTCGTCCTCCTGTTTGCTTGTGAAAGCTTCAATGAGCTACAATAAAGTTTCACAGAAATTAAAATTTGGCAACACTAATTGATCCCCCACCACACACAAAGAATTCTTAAGGTCTGGCCAAAGTCGGGAGGATACCAAGGGGAACATTTTTTGCCTAACATCAAGAACCTTTACTCTGAAGACCTCATGAAGAGGAAATGTCAGCACGTATTTAATCAAGCCATGAACTCTTTCCGTGTCATCACATTTTAACTGCCTTTGCTAAAATTTGCCCACAAATTTTGGTGCTCAGTGCATATATTTTCAGGCTCTTGCTCTTTTGCCTCTTATCCCTCAAGCCCTTGAGAGCAGCTTGCCCTATGCAATGCACTGCCAGTTCATAGCCCTCACACTTCATGTAAAAAATTTCCCTGTCTTCTAAACTCAGCGCTGACCCTGAGATTAGCAGTGTGGAAAATGGGCACTTTTGCCTCCCCTAGAATTAAGCGTGATAAGGAATTGAGTGATCTTGTTTATTAATCTTTCATCTTTCTCTCTTGCTTGTTGACAGAGATTTTTGCAGTGCTCTAATAGAGTCTCTGTGCTGGCATAAAGCATTTGATTTATTTAAAGAAAAGATTTTTTGCTGATCACAACTGAGTGGAGAAGATTTAACTCCAAGTCTCTAATAACAAACTGCCTCTTCGCACAGGTCCAGTGGAGCACGTCCATCTGAGCGTCCCCTTTGTCGCCATCAGGAATAAAGATGTCAACATTACTGCGGTGGTCTGGCCCAGCCAGCCAGGCACACTCACCTACTTCTGGTGGTTTGGGAACAGCACGAAGGTAGAGCAATCCTCTGGTTTCTTTTGCTTCCTAAACTTGTTGCAGCAGACAGGGAACTCTTTGAGACATAATGAAAACCTGCCTTTGCTTGTTTTGTATTCCTTGGGGTTTTTCCTTGTCTAAAAAACGTGTGTCGTTATCTGACCTTTGTGAATTTGTTCCCTCCTATCTCACATTGTTGTTCTTAGGAGTCATTACATTTTTACATTTGTTGTTGTCAGCCCTACTGGAATTTGAAGACCGCTGTTATTACCAGAGTTCACTTGCAACTTAACTAAATTATATACCACTATATATGGGATAATAGTGCCTTTCAACACAGTGTTTAAAAACTGCTGGTGTTCCAATAACCATGGGCCTTTCCATTATGTGCCAGGATGTAGTGTATAATGCTGGATTCCGACACAATACTTTAAAGCTGTTGGTGTTCAAATAACCAGTTGTATCTAGAATTTCAAGCTAGACTGTCAGTGAATTGTTTGTATATCCAGGTTCACAGCCTTGGAGAGATATATATATATATATATCTCATATATATATATGTATATATATGAGATACAGGTGAAATTTCTTTGTACTGAGTTTGCAAGGGACTAGGAAAAATATATTATAAAGAGCCTTTTTATCAATAGTTAAAATAAGTGAAACTACAAAACAGAGTTCCAAGAGAGAAAACAAAGAGTTGCTTATTAGCTACAGCTCCTGTAGGTCTAGGAGTGTGAGAGCTAATGCCCAGGCACTAGATTCCATTATTGCAGTTATGAGCTGTGCAGTTGATAATTTTACAATTTAGCATCTGCTTTTATTTGAAAAGGCAGTTTAGATCATGTTATTGTCTACATGATTGAATTGCAATTGAAGGTGGGTGCTGGAGTGATTTTTACATGAAAATATGGAATTTGAAATAAAAAAAACAGACACACAAGTATTTTATTTTGTCTGTGACAAAGTTGCTTGAGTTGCATCCTCTTCAAAATGGAAAGTAAGCTAGAAAAGACAGAGCAAACCTGTGCTGTTTCCTGAAGATTTCTACATAGTTCTTGTGGTGCTTCGTTCTGGGTTGTCAATATGATCTGCTGTCTTTTAGATACATTAGCTCAAATTTCAGACTTGTCAGCAACAGAGTGCAGGCAGGTTTGGATGTCTTTGAAATGGACCGTTTGGAAATAACTTGAATTGGAATAGCGTCTGGTAACACCTAGAAGTGATTTTACATGTTGCTGAAATAGAGGTGTCAATTAGTAAAGATTTTGCCTTTACCTGTGGCCAAATGAAGCATCCAGAGCATCTTTAATTCTTTGCAAAGTGTTGTCTGCAACCACTTCATGAAGCGTACTTCAACTGCGCCCCTCAGTATTTGACAAAAGCATGGCAAAGGATAGAAATATGGCAACAGGAACAGGGTTTTCTTTCTTTTTCCCCTCTTCCAAGGCGCAAATCTGCATGACATCAAAACGCCTAAATGGCGTGTTTAATATACATCTCAGATCCCTGTGTGTGCCCACTGCCCAAGACTCTCAGTGCAGGTGGAAGATGCAGAGACATCTACGTGTCAATTATGTGATGTGCTGTGTAATATTGTCCGTGGTGACTCACTGGCTTTGTTAGGTGATATATTGGGGTTGCACACTGAAGAATTGCAGTTTCTTTTCCTCTTCAGCCTGTGGGCATCCCAGACAGAACCAAATGTGTCTTGTGTCACTTTGAGGTCTCATTAAGGCACTCTCTGTGCTGCTGCACAGACGAATGTTGTCTTACACTCAAATGACCTGGCGAAGGCTCTTGTGCTGCCTTCCCCCTCCTGCTGGAACCGTTGCACTGAATTTCTACTGTGCTAATTTTGTGTTATGCCCAAAGGCCAATTTGCCTGAATTAACACAGGTCCAGTTTAATAAATGTGTCCAGCTGTCTAATAGGTTTGAGCAAATGAACCTTAAACTGCCTGATTTAATTTAGAGTTAGTTTCCAGGTCTTGGTGCTTGAATTAAAATTAAGGAATTGGCTGAATGTTAAAATTCCATGATGGAGGTGAAATCACCCATAATATTGGGATGTCCAGCCCACAAAGAACGAAAACCAGCAATTTTGAAGATCAAATTAGCTCCTTTTATCTGACTTTGTATGGAATCATAATTTGTAACTCTGAGAAGACTGCTAATATCACTGCAGTTTGATATAAACCCATTCTGCTTGTCCAGGATGTGTGAGTATCTATATGGCAGCTAGCACTCCAGGGTTAGCATGAACAGACGTGCTTGCTCACTTGGTCTGTGGGTCCCCTGTGGCTGAAAGAGCTTTTTTTCTATTCCTTTTTCAGCTCATGGATGAGGGGTCAGAGTAAGGTGGTATTTTGCATGGGGAAAAATCTGTTTGCCAGCCTGTGCTATACCAGTGCAAGCTCTGACTTGGCATGGAGTGCCAGTGTTGTGAAATGTGGCTTGACAGGATGAAGTGTGAGAGCTGCAAGCTTAATGTTTAGTGTTTTTATTTCTCTGGAACGGAGTTGGCCATGGGGTGAGGGCAGAACAGCAAAAGCACTATGGTTTTATCCATACTCTTAGACCTGTATGTGCTTTTGCAGTGGAGGTGGCTAGCATCACTATTTCTGTTTTAATGGTTTAAGGCAAACACAGGGAGACCTGTCTGTAGACTAGCAGTCGGATCAGTAGTACCGCTAACACTGGAGTTTTTGATTTTCAATGCACAAATCTCTTTCCTCAAACGTGGTACTCTTCTCATCTATATGTGTGTCACTGTGATAAATTTCTGTCCAGAGAGATGAACAGTAGTGCTATTAAGGACATTTTTGTTTAAGAAGGTGCAGATAAAGTCAGTCTCTTCTGCCAGAGCCCAGGGCTGGCCAAATGCAGGTCAGCTTCATTCTGGAAGCCATCCAAACACATTCAGACATCTCTCTCCCTACCTATTATGCCATGCTTTCATCCTTGTTAACATAGCCTACAGTTTCAACTAACTTATATGTCTTGGGGGCCCAGAACATGGACAGAGTAATGCTGGGTGCACTTTCTCTATCTTCAGCTAAGTTGCTCAGAGATGAATAGATGGATTTGCATCAGAAAAGCAGTGGCTGAATCTAAACAGTATAAAATGTTTGAAGAAGAATCTGCAAAGGTTTATACCCAGGAGCTGTTTGGAGCTGCACCTTGTGTACTGTACAGCCTATATAACAACTGTGTGAGTTTATGTCTATGTATGTGTACAGTTCATCTGCAGCACTTATTCTGCCAGAGGAGGAAAGCTGTTGTGGCCTGGTGGATCACTAGATGCCTTTGCTGTGGTTCTGAGATAATCTCATCCTGCTTTTGGTATCAACATCTGTGTTTCCCTCTTGCAGCCTCTCATCACCTTGGAGAGCAGCATCTCATACACCTTCGCCATGGAGGGGATGAACACTGTGACGGTGCAAGTTGCTGCAGGCAACACTCTGATCCAGGACACCAAGGAGATCGCAGTGCATGGTACCCTCAACCCTTTACAATCAGAACTCAGGGGTTGTCCAGAGGTGAAGAACAAGCAGTTGCTGCTGAGCCTAAATGAGTTCTCTCTGCTCCCTAGTGTTCAGAAGAACCTCTGAAAACAAATGTTTATTAACCACAAACCATGTCAGTTAGATTTGTGCTGATCATCAAATGCAGGACTGAATCGGATGGGATAACTAGCTCAGTCTGTCAGCTCAGCATTGCAGTAAAATGGCTGGTGTCTCCACTGGCTTCATGTCTGCATATCCTGACTGGAAACTTCCAAAATAAAGCACTTAGGGCTGTAGCCACAATGCCTTCCCTCTACCTCCCAGCTCTGGAAAGAAGCAGGCATGGTGCATAGATAAGGTGTTCCTTACAGCCAGTGTTCCTCTCCATACAGTGACTGTATAAACTGATGAGGTCTGGGAAAAAGGGGCTCTATTACTGCCACCTCTGTCCGTCTTCTGTGCCACAGATGGTGGTCTGAGTGTGGCTACTGGACTTCTTGGTAGCCACAAGACTGACATTTGGTGTGTTCTTAACATGTCTGCAAATTATTGCATCCAAATTTCATCCTTTAGCTGACCAAAGAGCTGTTCCAGTTTGGGTCTTGGTAAAGGCAGAGTGGAAGGGCTTTCCCAGCAATCCTGGCCTGGTCTTTCTCCAGGGAATAATTTCCCCCGCCCTGTGCTGTTCTTCATTTTTCTTAGTCAATTCTTGGTATCTGGCATTTCAGGACAAGCTTTTATTTGAGTGGCAAGTTTACTGAGAGATGTGGGCTTCAAATAATTGAGGTTCCACTATGTCTTTGAGCTATGTGTCTTGTTTCAATAATTAGGAGATAAATAAATGCCCTGCTGGTGACTGGAAAGCTCTGTGTTCAGAGTTAACAAGCAGTTAAATAAGTATTTATTGATTGCCTAGCTGTGAAATGTAATGGGACTTAGTAATCTGATAATATGATTTAGTAATACCCAAACTTACTATTAGCTAATGTAAGTAACTCTCTACTCAAATCATTCTGGGCATTACGAAATGCAGAGTTTAGTTCTGGGCAGCTGTTGCAGCTTTCCACTGGTTTCTGGAACAAACCTGAATCAAGCTTATCAGAGCACAGGCTGAGAAGTGGCCTTTAGGTGATCTTATTCTATACTTTTTAGTTGTGAAGTAAAGGTCTCAGTAGGTCCCACAGAGCATTCCTCATGTTCTGCTTTCAAACATCCTGTAAGGAATTTTGCATTTTTGTGCAAAAGGTCGAAAGCTTGTGGGCTATATCACAAAAGAGGAATTCATCCTGTTGAAATGTCCAAATAATCCTAGGTGCACCGTGCTGCAAACTGACCTGGTCTAAGGAGAGTGTCATCGTAGACCCCAAAGATAGTGATAATTTAAAGCACACAAAAAGAAAGAACTGGTCTTGCAAAATACGCAAGGGAAATGCTGTGCAGATACTTCCTGCTATTCTGTGGATTTCCTCATTTATACTCTTGCTAGCTTAGCTTAATCTAAAACTGGTACCTTCTTGCAAATGTCTAATATTGCTTACTTGAAGTGTCTAGGGATAAGCTGCTTCAAGGTGAGGTATGGCACATCTCCATAAACAGAAGGGGGTCTTCTACCATAAGAACTGATGTGATTCCCATTCTGAATCTGTGCCTCCGCTAATCTGTCTGCCTCAAATCCGTTGTGCATATTTGTCATAAGGATTCAGGGCTTGGACTCTTGTGCTGAGCATATTTGAAGAGTAGAACCTGCATAAATTCCTCTAGAGTTTCCTGTTGCCAAAAGTTTGCAGCATGAGTTCACTGCATGTTGACTTATGTGCAGCAGAAAATACATGTTTCAAGTATCTCTTCTGTAATGCAGGGCTAGCTAATCTGTTCTTCAGCTGTGGGCTGCTTACCAGTATAACTCTGTGAGGCCACTTCCAAAAGACGTGTCAGAATATGGACAATGGACCAGATTAAGCATCTAAACTTGTTCTAATGACCCAAGAGGCATTCAAAATCATGCCAGAGTTATAAAGATTAATCTGTTCCTACTACAGAAGAATGCTACATCTGCTGTAAAGAATATCCCTTTTGTTCAAGATAATACCTTGTGATGATGAAAATCTCACAACCAGCAAATGCGTTATAGCTGTAACTAAACAAGCTTTAGTTCCAGCATCAAAGATCAAGAGATCCCAGAGGCTCTGGAATGATCACTAGAGAACAGCCAGGCAAGAGAGGAATAAAATAAAGGAGAAACCAGTCTAACTCAGGTGAAAACTGATGCTGAGAGGGTGGGTTAGAAACAGCCCCTAAAGGAAGGCCCAGGGTTTTCCTAGGGAAAGGCTGTTATGCCAACAATGGAATGATTCTGGTGACATTAGAGGGGAGATTTGGCGAAGTTTTTTTTAATTGTTCTGCATTTAAATCAGTCTAGGAACTTTTCCTTCCTCCCTGCAATCTGTCAATTAGGAAGTAATTTCAGAGTGTTTTATGAATAGCCCTTGCCTGATTAGCCTGTCATTAGCACTACTGGGCTCTGATTTGTTGGGGGTATTAACCACTCATGGCTTCGCTCCACGAGAGCAAACAGATAATGCCTGCTTTTGAAAACATATTACTTACAGTAAGTGTTGGCTCTGCAGAGCACAGTGCATGCAATTGCACAGACCTCCCAAATTTCAGCCAGACGCTGCCTTATTTACTGGTCAGCTTCTTTGTAAGCAGAATCAGATTAAGTTTGCTGGCAAAATTACAAAGCTCAGAGGCATCACAAAGAGAAGGGATCCTCTCATGTCTCTCATTCCTTCTTCCATTTCTTCTGGGAAGAGCCACAAGTTGGCATTAAGGCCTTGCAAACTTTCCATTCTACTTAGTTTTAGCCTGCCCTTTTTCTTCCTTTCCTCTCTCTGTTTCAAGATTCTTTAATTATGGTCTTTCTGTTGACTTCCATAAGCTTTGGCTGTACCCTGCTCATTTAATCTCTTTGATACTGTTTTTCTGCTCCAGAGTATTTCCAATCACAACTCCTGTCATTTTCTCCTAACTTGGACTACCACAACCCTGACATCCCTGAATGGAGACAAGACATTGGCAAAATCATCAAGAGAGCTCTAACACAGGTGAGCATCTCCTTCCTCCTCTTCTGTGCAAACATTGGCTAGTTAAAGCAGGCAGACTTTTTTAGCGTGCTAGCCTAGAAGAATGGCAAAGAACAGCAGTAATGAAGCTGTCATTTTAAATCGACTGCTTCTTAATGTGCTGGATCTTTTTATAGAGACAAATTATATCAGGAATTTTGTGGAAATATTGTAATTACTGTTATTAATGTTTCTGTGACAGTTTTGAGCCTTTAGTATCCCTGAGGACTTTACATATTCTAGATTTAATAGCATGACTATTATTCTTGTAAGGTGCAGGATTTACTGTTTTCTACTCCAAACATTTGGGTAGTGTTACTGTATATTTTTCAAGAGCTAATCTATCCCATCCCAGAGGACAGACACTGTAGTGTGTTGGATGTGTGAGAAAGATCTTTTAGCTATTCCTGATACTCAGGCTTCTAATGGAGCTAACTGTATGAACTAGTAAATATTACAAACTTCTCGCTATCCAACTGGGACAAAAAAGTGAGGAATGGAAGGGAAAACAAACTTACCTTTTAAAATACAAGCAAAGAGAAACTTATAGAATTGAAGATACTGAATCTTCTTTGGGATTAATTAGAATATGTAAACTAGTACTCCAATTTTTGCAGTAAAGGGGGCAGAATAATTTATGTTATCAAGTAGGCAGTGACTTTAGTTTTGTGTGAAGTCAGGAGATAGATTTAAGAAAGCTTTTGTGTTTTTACTATCTGCCAAAAAAAAAAAAAACACTTGTGTTTTCACTTCAGCCACACCTGTTCTTAGACATGGAAGCTGATAATTTTTACAGGGAAAGTACATTCATGGTCAACTCTTCCCATCTGCAGACCACTCAAAATTTGCATTTTTGAGAGTTTCCTTGATTGTGTTCCCATCCTGAGAAAACACCTAGTTCATTTGTTTAAAATTGTCCTTCCCTTTTACTTTAATCAGAGTCAAGTTTGCAGAAAAAATAAGTAATTTTATAACTACGAATGGTTATAGACAACAGTAGAAATCACAGTGAAGTGCCTGCTTTTGCATCCTTTTTTGACTATTTGGCTGCAGGCTATGGGTTATGCTTACAGGACAGCTCACCAGGGATAGGCTGACACCGTAGGATTATTTAACTCAGGAGCAGGCTGGAGGCAGGATAGGGCCAGGTTGCTCGTGGGCTTAGCCCATGATGAAGCAGGTTTTGGGAATTAGGTGTAGAACCATCTGTTTGGCAAACTGAGCAGTCCTCAGGGACCACCCAGTCAGCCCCTGAGTGAAAGAACTCCAAGTGGAGACATTAGGACAGTCATGTGCATACGACAAGTGGAGATCTCCATAACAGGATGCTAGAAGGTGATTTCAGGCAGGTTTTCTTCATACATTTCAATTAGTTGTGTGCTCACCAGTGGTTACTCGGAGCCAGGCTCTCTAACTCTGAATTTGGGGTCATTCTTTTCTTGTGAGAGGAACTATATGGAAAATTTAAAACAGGATACGTGGTAGGTTTGGATTTTGAACACAGGGTTCAGGTCTTTGAGTTGAGGGGTATTGCCAAGCCTCCCTTATGTCCAGAAATGAAGTAGAAGAGAGCAAGTCATTAGAAGAACTCTGTTTTAAGACTCACTCTCCCCAGATGGCAGCACAACTCATTACAACCACAACACCTGTAGCAGAACAAATCACAATTTGATAGAAGTAGAGTTTCCTATAGTCAGTGGAAACATCAGTAATAAAATGGCAGCTAGGGACTTTTCCTTTTTTTTTCACTTCTCAACCTTTTAATTTTTTGAGCTTTAAACTTTTAAAAACTTTTTCTTTTCTTTTCTTTTTTTTCAGGTGACTGGTGTCCCTGATGAACAGATCTTGGTAGCTGTATTTCCAGGGCTGCCTACCTCTGCTGAACTCTTCATACTGCCCTATAAAAACACAACAGAGAGGAGGAAAAGCAGTGAGGCTGATTTGGAGCAAGTAAGGAAGGAAGAATGCACAGAACAGTGACAGAACGTTCATTCCCTTTGTAGCATTTGTAGATGGGTCCCTAAATCTGTGTAGCATTGGAAAGGAATTGCAACAGGCATGAGAGATCTGCATGCATCTGGGACTGGAGTGGTGTAGTTTATGGCATTAAAAATGATTTCTACAAGGAAAATGGGATTTCCAAGTACCCTACTGAGATGTTGCACAGTCTACCAGCAGTGGTTCTTCCTGGATCAGTAGTATGTCCTCATTATAGAAGTTATGGCCAAAGAAACTTAAATATATATTCCCTTCACTCCCTGGAGAAATGGTAATAGACACAGGCCAAAGCAGCAAGATAATGTACTGAGGTTTACTAAAAATAAATCAGACTCTTCAGCTCGTATATCACCAGAACAAGACCTCTTTATTCTGCAGCAGTGAATGGTGTGTGCAAACCATATTTGGAAGTTACAATATCCATCCATTTAGATAAATAGGTAATTACAGTGATGAATAGCAACAGTGATATGCAGGCAAGGGAAAAGCTAGGAACAGCAGCACTAGTATGCTGAAGCTTTCATGCTAGAATTACCAAGTGATTAAATCAGCTCTATAAAGGCAGGAAGAGTGAAGTACTACTGGAAATGCTGCTTAGCTCAAGCTAATGTTCTTGTGTGCACCATTTTTACTGTGTAAAAGCTATGTGTGAAGCATCTGAAAGCAGCTACAGGACTACCTGCTGTGATCAAACTCCCGATTCTTTGGAATTCAGGACTGCTGAATTCTTTGGAAACTCTTGGCACTCTGGTGAGGAACCACATAACACATCGTAGCTGGGTTGCTTGGCCGTGAGTTAAAATCCACTCTAAGACCCCACTTCGAAATGAAGGAGAAATACGGCGAATGTGACATTAACCTTCAACGCTGAATTGTAGCATCCCCAGCATCCTATTTCAACAGAAGCTGCAAGACTAAGGTTCTCTGGTATGAAAATGAGCAAAAATGTGTTGCTAGGTTGGACCCAGCTCAGTTCCAGCATGATGCCAAGGCAGAAGTTCTCAGGGATTTCAAAGGATTTTGTGGAGGGTCAAAATCATTATTTCTCTTCCAAAAAACATTTTACTAGTTTTATTTCTTGATTTTCTTCCTGGAAGAGGCATAATGACATACTCTGTAAGTCTCAAATGTGCATCTGTCCTGTAGGGAGAACTGTGCAGAATAACACTCAGTTCCATCTAAAACATACATACATGTTCTTTCTTTGTCTGTTCCTCAGTCCCTCAGCTCCCATCCTCCTCTCCACTCTTTTCCCCTTCTTCACGAAGCCAATAAGAGATGTTAGTCAAAATTCACAGGCTACATGCATTCCTGAATGTTCTTTCAAGCTAGTTCTATTGTTTTATTCTCTATTTTATCTTGTATCTTTTATTTCATCAGGTTGTTGAAATCCTTTTTAATGCTCTCAACCAGAACCTGGTCCAATTTGAACTGAAGCCTGGTGTTGAAGTCATCGTCTACGTCACTCAGTTAACATTAGGTGAGTGTGGAATCAAATATGTGGGTACAATTCTCTAAAGGCTTCAGACTACCGCAGACCAGGTCTAGGTCAGAGCACTTACAGGATTGGTAGATGCTACTGGCTTACTTAGGATGGATCATACCAAGACACTGTCTGTGCCAGGAGGAACTGTTGAAAACAGAATCCTGCAGTGGTGGCTTCATGCACCAGTTGTACAAGTATTAAAAGTACCATTTAGGAGTTCCCCATGGCTTAATTAATGTGCTGATGTTTTTCAAGCGTTTTAAGAAAATCAGGTGAATGGTATTATATTAGCCCTCATCCTTCACCCGTGAATTCAGTGAGGCTATTTCCTGGATATTGAATCATTTCCTTATTGCAAGGGGTTTCCTAATGTTATGACTATCTGAGAAGCTTTACATGGGCTAAGTACTAATGAAAAGAAGCCCTAGGTCTCCTGCAGAGGTATACTTGCCTTAAAAGTGACTCTGTACATGTTAGCACTTATTTAAATTTGAATACTACTTATCTCCATTTTCATGCAGAGTAATGAATAGTCCCCTCCGCATCACCCCCTTTCCTATAGACCACCCTCAGGGTGAAGCCAAACTATTGCTGAATTTAGGCCACCCTAGTGTAAAGCTCTCATCTATTGCTAAGATACTGGTGGTTGTACAGCAGATGTTGGATTTTTTTTTTTACCCTTGATTGTGATGACTGCCTTTGCAGTTATCAGAGAAGTGCGATCTCATGCACGTGACAGAGCTGATAGCCTGTTGGAGAGATTGCCGTTCATGGTCTAGGATGGTACATTTCAACCTCCTTTTTCACAAGACTTTTAGAGGGCCAAAAGCTGGGCTAAGCCATGGCTCATGACTTGTCCCACAGATAATGCCTCTGGCTGTTGCTTGGAGGTGGGATTTGGACATTAACAGAAGCAGTCTGGAATGAATAAATCTGCAAAACTGGGAACTAGACCCAAATGGCTGCAGCTTTCTAGTTCAGAATCTGCTTTTCTGGGGAAAAAAAGAGAGAGATCTGCACTAGTGCAGGTTTAGGTGGCAATGCTCGACTATTCTCACACCCTCAAGCTGGGATGCTGGGCTGTGTTTGTTTCATGATCACTCCCACAGCATTTTGATTCAGATGAAATAGGAGCCAGTTCTTTTCCAAGAAAGAGTCTTTAGAAATGCTGAAAGAAGGATACTGGCAGGATCAGACTCTTAAGTGGGAAGATTTGTGTATGGGACCAGAAGTGGTTCTATCTGCATAGACTTGTTCCCATGGAGTGGATCATAGAAAAAGAAAAGAACAGAGAACAATAAAAAAAAAAAAAAAAGAGAACCAAATATTTATGCAGAATAAGAAATACTCAGCTCCTACTTGCAATCATTTGCACATCATTAGGGTCTTTTCACTGGACTCTTGATTCTCAGCACACTACTCAGACCAGTAAGCCACAGTGAGCTGTGGGAGTAGCTGCACCCAGAAGATTTTATAATAGACTGTCTTTAACCTGCTAAAAATGTCAAACATAGATGGATCAGAGATCCAAATTGTTATAAAGCGGTGTCTGCTTGGATCTAGGATTATTTATTTGGGCTTCATCCCTGTATGAAGACTGAACTCAATTAAAAACTCGTGGGCTTATATCCCATGTCTAGTAGCCCTGAGGTTTCTCATGAGATCTGATCTCTGTCACACATGAGACAGACTTGACAACGGAAAGTGGGAGACACAGAACAAACAGAAACCACAGTTTCTGTGAATTGAGCCATACTTCCTAAATTTCGTTTCTACACCAGTCCTTGGGAAAGCCTAAGATGGGATGGCTCAGAATATTAGCACAGAGCCAATCAGCCATTCAGGTGAGCATGATTTGCTGGTGTATTCTCACTAGTAGATGTAAGACTGCACTGTCTTGAAAAGGGAGCTTGGATTTCAAAGGACAAGGAGGTCAATTTTTTTCCTACTGATTTGCCTTGCTGAAAACACTGTGCCACGTGTGGTAGTGATAATAACGCACACATAGCAGATAGGAGTAAGTTCAGCACTCTGATACCTGTATATTCCCTAGTAAGGAACAAATACAAATGCGATGCTCTCCCTTTCCTCCTGCAGCACCCCTGGTTGATTCCAGCACAGGTCACAGCAGTTCGGCGATGCTGATGCTGTTGTCTGTGGTCTTTGTAGGCTTGGCTGTTTTTTTAATCTACAAATTCAAGAGGTAAGTTGAGAAAATTTTGAGGGTGGGAGGAGGAGTCAATGGGTAGTTTCTAAGAAAGTTAAGCAGAGCTCTGTCTAGAGCTCTTTCTAGACTGTAGAAATAGAGTGAGTTATACTGGTTTAAGGTTTGAATTTTTTTAGAGGTAGTAGTCAAAAAGACACTGTCCACTAGGAAGAATGATATTTTCATTGAAGATTTAGCTGTTGATAACCCTAGGTCTGCATAATTGACAAACTTGAGATCTGTCACCAGATTTATGCTGATTGAGGATTTTCAGTCATTTCTTAGAGTCAGAAGTGTGTGTCTTGAAATCTCTGGCCTGGGATCCTTGACCTGACTGACTCCCAGCAGACCCAGCTGATCAGTGATCCTTGCCTTTGGTTACTTCAGGATCACATCTCTCTTGTTCTCAAATATGTAAGACCCTCTCCTGTCCCTCCACGACAAGCTCAGTGTCCTGGAAGCTCACCCAAAAATCCAGCTGTGATCTGCATCAGCAGGCCTGTTTGAACCGTTGGCCAGAAGTGGGAACCCTGTGTGCTTACTGAGTATTGAGCTACTCGATACAAACCTAGTCAAAAACCACATGGTGGGATGTCTCCATGTGTTCTGTGGCCATCTTGCCAAATGCCTTTGTACAGCTGCATCTCATTTGTATCTTGAAAGTGAATAGCTTAGTCTTGCAGAGGAGCAGGTGTAATTATGTTAAAATAGGGACACTCAAAGCCACAAAGGTTTGTGCTAAGCATCAGAATGCCTTTGGGAATCTAGGCTAAGATTTCTCTTTTACACTTTGCTTTGGCAAGCCGCAGGTCATATTATGTAGCTACAGCTCATAAAACTAGCCCTCATACCTCATAAGTATCCCGAGCCGTAATAAAAATCTGAGTATAACTCCTCTGCATGAGATTTGATTCTGCTGCATGCTGAGCTTTCCGCACACCTTGCTCCAAGCAAAGATAGATGTTGAGAGCAGCCTCGTGCTGTGCTGCAGGGCTCGGAACACCCTGCCTTTTCAAACCTGGCCAAAAATGGAATCTATAACAAGAAGTCTGCAAAGTGGAATGGTGGTTAAAGTATGGGTTTTGCTTAACCCAAAGCTTGTCGACTTGCTTCCCATTCTTGTCTGCTCTGCCCCAGACAGGAGAAACTCATCAAACTAGCAACAGTTAGTTTTTTTAGTTAAAAACCGAGAGTTCTCTGGGGTAGATTTTTCAGAACAGAAAGCAATTTCTTCAGTTCCATCCAAAACATCTGGATCAATGGATCAGAGAGGAGAGCGGATGACAACTCTTAATAGAAAAAGGAGGTGAAAACAAAAGGTTTCCTCAAGCTCTCAGCGTTCCAGAGGCCCATTAACAATATGTACTTTTCTGATTAACTGTGATCCTGGCCTGAATACACAGCTGCTGCTTGCAGGAAAAGGTTGTGGGGAAAGCATGGGCCTGCATGAATTTTTAATTTCACAAATTCAGAAAATCATCACTTTGCTGGTTTGCACACAGACTCCTTGTTATGAGTCCATCCATGTTGCCAGAGAGCTGCCTGCTGAGGATTTCCAGGTAGAAAAGGAGCAGGAAAGAATTTTGGGTGTGGAAACCTAGGGAAATCTAGGGAGCAAACAAAAGTTCCCCTCTCCAAGTGCAGTACGTGTGACTTGCGAAGTGTTAACATGCAAGTTCTTGTAGTTAATTCTTTCACTGCTGACCAAAATATGATTCACAACCACATGACTGCAGCCCTTTCTGTGCAGTATTTATGTTTGTTAGTGATCTATAAGGCCTGTTTGTGGGTGAGAAAGGGAGCGGGTGGCAGAAAGGAAGAACATGAAATTTGTTAACTGTTACTAAACATCCCAAATATGTCCTGACTTCTTGTTGGTTAAGAGCAGAATGCCAAATCAAGCCGATAGCACAAGGAATTTGTTGCCAAAACATCACTGGAGTAAAATCAGCATAGCTCTCTCAAATTCATGAGGCAATTTCCAATGCTTTCAATCTGTGACATACCCAGAAGCAGAAAGGTTAGCATAAAGAGATAACATTTTATATAACTTCTTTTGAAGGCACTTTCTTTCTGCCTTATGCTTTAAGTAACAGAACAAATACCCTGAATTTCCCTCATTTGGGCAGTGTGGAATGCATGGCACAGAGCTCTTTTAAGGGTATTAAAAAACAAAATTGTCAACTCCTTACAGACTACTGCACACACACAGTCTTAGCAACCTCTACTGGATCAGTGTGGGTCTGTCTATAGAACAAATCTATTTTTTTTCCACTTGGTAGTAGCGTTCAAATTTTTAATTTGGGTTTCCAGTGCACCACTGATCATGTAATAGATACAAAGAGTTGGGTATTGCCACTGATTGTGCCTAGCTGATTGCTGTTGTCTGAGCTGGATGTGCAGTATCCCCTGTGTTCTCATTTAAAAGAACCAGTATATTTAGGTTTGAGTTGGAGGGGCCCCTGGGCACAGGATAGGAAGGCAGTGGCCTGAGACTTGGGGTAGTTTTAAGCTAGTGTTGGAATTAGTGATAGCTAATGGGGCTCTGCAATCTGAGCATCACTGTGATTCTTTCACCATTCTGAGACGTAGTACTCCCCTGCAGGTGGTGTATTTCTGGGATCAGTCTCAATTTAATGGGTCTGATTCATCACTGACATGTCAGAGATCACAGATTTACAAAATATAACCTCTCATTTCCTTTTCCTGTGCAGGAAAATCCCTTGGATTAACATTTATGCCCAAGTTCAGCATGACAAGGAGCAGGAAATGATCGGCTCTGTCAGCCAAAGTGAAAATGCCCCCAAAATCACCCTGAGTGAGTTCACAGACCCAGAGGAGCTGATGGACAAAGAGTTGGACACGCGAGTGATGGGTAAGACCCAGAGCTCTGCTGGGGCTTGTTTCGCTCCGTGGGTGAGGATGTTGGTCACTGGTGCATTAAGGTGAGGATGTTGCTCGCTGATGCATTAGGGGAGGCGGTGACCGTGACCACGGGTCCCGCTGCAGGTCAGCTCTGAGCCAGGGGCACAGGAAAATCTCCCTGTCTGCAACATGATAGCGGGGAGTTATTCTCCTAGAGCTTTTCAGTCTTTCTCATAGGGTTTGTTACATGCCCAGTGCAGGAATCTGGAAGCAGTGTGTACTCATAAGTAATGGCTGTGACTATCACCTCTGCCTGCTCATGACCCTCTCTCTCTTGAGAAGGGATCCCAAATGCCCTGAGCCCTCAGAAGAATCGACTAAGCTGAGCTTACGCAGTGGTTGTTTTACTACCAGTTACAAGTGAATATATAACCTATGGCTTACAGAATTACCGCAGGTTGTCTCTGTGCTTATTGCAAATGCAAAGCAGGATGGCTTGTTTTTAAGCACCTTTATGTCTGTACATTTACACAAGCGCATCATAAGAGGGATTGAGAAGCAGTATAGACCAGACTGCTGAAGCTACTGCACTGACTCTCCTCTTTATTCTCTCTTACAGGAAGCATCTCAACAATTGCCAACAGCGAAAGCACAAAGGAAATCCCTAACTGCACTAGTGTTTAATACTGGGAATCCACTTGGTCTACAACATTTCTGACTTTTTATTTGTAATTATTATTGTTATAATTATTATTATTATTATGAAAAGAAAGAAAGAGTTATATGTCATTATTAGCATTTGGGAGGGGATGGGGTGGGTTTTTTCTGTTTACCAGGGCTGCATTCATAAATAACAGGTGTTCTTAGTATTTGGGAAATGCTCAACAGATCAGAAAGGAAAAGTGAAGTACGATGGGATTTGAATGCCAGCCTCCCATTAAGTACAGAATCGGAATTAAGTATTCAAATCCAATAGGTAAATTGGGCAGCATGTTATATATAAGTGGTCCCTTTTCTACCCTTTCCAAAACAAGTCATGAATCAGCTACTTCATCCTGCCAGAGGGCTCAGGCTGGGTTGTTGAGCCAGGCTCTGTAACATGCCAACAGCCCTTACTTCCCAATGACATCCATGTCTCAGTCTGTGCTGGATCTGGCCTCCCTTAATTGCTTTTAATTTTAATCACCCTCTGGCTTTTTTGATTATGGAGAAAAGAAAAAAGAACAAGCAAACACAACAGTGGAGTGATAGGCTGGAGGCGACAGCACACAAGCAGTCAAGAAGCACGCCGGAGTTTATGAATGCAGCCCCAACCCCATGCATGTGAATAGCAAGGATGCCGAAGGCCTACTGTAGATAATTACAATGTACATAGCTTTTTATTTCTTGGGAAATAATTTAATGTTTAGTAAAAGAAATGTTTAAAACAAAACCTGAACCACATGCACACACACACACACACACACACACTTGTACATGCCAGCCAACCAGGGACTGGAGTGAGCACTTGAATCACTCTCTTGTTCCGAGTGTGTTCCAGTTGTCTGTCATATTTCAATCTTACATTGCCGTGTAAAACTAGCATAGGTGATTTCTCCATGTATTACTGCAAGCCTGTATTACTGCAAGCCTTTTAAAAACATTATTTCTTGTGATGGAGCAGGAGATTTCAGCAGTACAGTCTGTGAGGCTGCCATGAATATTTCAGTGATGTTCAAGAACTATTCACATCTGTCACTGTTACCAGTTCTGAGGAGGATCTTGGTGGCATCCGTTAGGGATATGGAAGAAAGAAAACAGACAAATTTATCATGCTCTGGATGTGAGCTAATACCAATGTGGTGGCAGCACCCCAAGGCTCAAATAAGTTACAAGGCCAGGCTGACTCTACAGGCTCAACTCAACAACGAGCCAGGTTGCAGTAGCTTTGCTGCCAGTGAGAAGTCATGCTTTAGGAGTTAAGCTAGTGAGGTAAAATGCTGTGCAGGGAAGAGAATTCATATGATTAGGGGCTGTTCATTGGGGAGGGCACGCAGGATCAGACCTGTTTCATAACTGAGCAAGGCAAGTCCTTTCCTGCGAATGCTGCGGAATATTGGCTTACAGTTCTGGACGGAAATGCTGTCAGAATAACCTTTGCATTGTGGGTTTGTGCTTTCCAACCAGAACAGTGAAGTTAACAAAGAAGATGTAGTGAAAAAGCTCTTTAGGATTATGAAACTTTTAGCACACTGAGTTAAGGATAACCCTTAGAAGTGGTTGATTTTTTGCTCAGGAGGTAAAGAGTGGTGGTTTATTTTAATCAATTTTTTCTTGAGTTGGTGATGCTAAAGTTGGGCCTTATGCTGCAGAGTGCTGAGTTAGAAGACCCAGTGGAAATGGAAGAATGGAGGCACCTTTTGGAAGATGTTCCAGAGCTTGCATTGTAATAAGAGGCAGAAATCAGGTCAGGTGACAATATTTGGTAACCAGTTTATAAGATTTGGATAGAGTACTCCAGCTTTCATATATATGCAGTGAGATGAGGAGATGGCAAGAATACGGTGCTACTAGCTACCTCCCTGCATCCCAGCATGCCAGCTGACTGCAAACCAGCCTCAACTGTATTTTTTCACTCTATTAATGAGTAAAATAGTCTTTCAACAGCTGGAATCTTGATGTCTCCTAAAGGAGGTGAGAAAAGTGGTTAAACATAGTTTTACAAATGAACTCAGGAGATATTTTAAGATTAAAATTGTTAAAACATAGGGAAATATTCTTTTGTAGGGGGTATTAAATAATCTCAATTCTTCTGCTCCTACACTAAAGTCAGGCTTGTGGGACTTTCTGTTAATTTAAAAAGAATTCTGTTTTCTCCTTCACTTTTCTGCTCTAGTTCCTAATACAAGCTGGAGAGTGATGGCTGTATTTTTCTCTCTGACCTTGAGTTTCCATCTATCACATGTGCATACGCTGTTGCGTTACTGTTTCTGTTCCACTGAAACACCAAAGTAGTTTACAGTAATGGCCCAATCTGGTGATGACACTATTAGTGCAAGGCCATAGCTTCCCATTTAGATCTAGATGGGAGGGATGTACATAAACAATGGTCCTGTGGGCCTTGAGCTAAACTCTGGGCTGATCTCAGTCTTTGCTGATCATTAGGATTTGAGGGACTGCTTTTGTAAGCTGCTGCACAGGGCAGAATGAGAAATAATCACTGTTTCCTCTGTTACTTTTATTTTTTAAAAAAAAAAAAGGAAACAAAGTGATTTTTTTAGTGGTAGCTGGAATTTTCTAGATTCTTCATGGAAGTTATCATCTGTTGATTAAAAAAAAAGAGCAGATTACAATTTTCATATTTGGGGTGTCCCTATACATCCTTCAAGATGCAATGGAGAGGTAGTGAAATCTCTAATAACAAATGGGAGGAAGCAAGGAGGGAAAACTGGGAGTAGGCCATTGAAAAAATGGAAACATTTTTCACTTCTCAAAAGAAGATTTACTCTCAATAAGGCTGAGAAGATTCTAAATGATGCAGTTAATTGTTGGAGAAACATCTGTCCAGCAATCCATTTTCCATACAAAACTAAATTAAAAAAAAAAGAAAAAAAAAAGAAAAAAAAAAAGAAAAAAAGAAACCTGATTCTTGAGTAGACTCGAACTTCATCTTCTGTGAGATCTAGTAGGTAAAACCCACCTGGATGCCACCCTGTACTCTGGGTGTCCCTGCTGGAGCAGGGGGGTTGGACTAGGTGATCTCTAGAGGCCCTTCCAGCCTCAGCCGTTCCAGGATTCTGTGTTCTATCAGGATAGGTCATCACACCGGTCTCAGGACCAAGGTCATCACAGCGGTCTCGGGACCAGCGTGCGCTCCAGGTGCAGCTGGACAGAGCTCACCCAAGGATGTGTGGGGTCCTGTTTGCCAGATCAGACTTGCTGCATTAAGATAGCAGCCATGGTTGATGGCAGCTGGAACAAGGATGTGCTCTGCCCATGACTGATCCGGAGGCTGTTCCTTCCGCTGCATCCCTGAGATGCAGCAGTGGGACAGCTGGGGCTGTAGCTCTCTCTGGCACCTCTGTGAGGTTTGAATTAGGCCACCAGCATTATCCACCTTTCATGGGATCTTCTGAGCTGGAGCCTTGGCACAGACTGGAGGACTGTCTACTTTTATTTGTGCTTCTGATATTGTGGAATGTTGTTAGTTGTTTTTCCCCCTGCAAGTTTTCCCCTGAGGAAAACTTAATGGAAATCCTTGAAGCTGTAGGTGATTATTTATCTAAGTAAGGAGGGCAAGAAGTTGCACTATGAGTAAAGCATAAGTAGGTCCTACTGTAGTTGTATAGAAAGAGAAATAGAAAACGTGAACAAGAGACCAGGTCATTGCCCTCTATCACTGCCAGCCTTTCCCACATGATGGACTCTTTTGTAGTAGCTACAACACAAGAATAATGCATGAGACCTGGAGACTAGCTGCACCTTTTGACTCTGTATGGCCATAAATTTGGTGTAAACACCAATAGATCCCTTAGTTTATCCTGTGCTTGAGAGTCCCCAGACTAAAGCCTGGCAAGATCAGAGATCAGGCCAGAGCAACTATGGACCACAGAGTTTTTTAGTTGTAATTGTCTTAAATGAGAGCACATATGGAACAGGGTTGATTTTCTTCTGTGGTAAGCTTTGGTTTTAGGGAAGTGCAAACATAAACTGTATCTCCCTTTCCTTTCAATTAGTTCTGACAGAAATTTCAGCTTGCCCTGGTCTGACAAGCAAAATCAGAGCCCTCATATCACTTCTGATGATGTTGGACAGTGCGTTAAACCTAAACCACCACCATGTTTTTAAAGGATTAAATGAGGCAGACAATTGCAATACTTGTATTAAACACAGTAATACAAATGCATGAGTCATAATATATACATATATATATATACTGTTCTTGGTTTTATTGTTCCATTTGAATATTTCTACTGTAAAAAAAAAAGGCAGTGGTTTTGAAATTGTTGAAAATAAATGTATTTTTGTACATCAGAGTTACCCCTGGCTGCTCTTTCAGTCCTTGTCCTAAGTTTCCTTTTGGTGAAGTCTCCTCTGTCTGCTCTGAACTTTCCTTGCTATCTCTAGTCTTCCAACTCTCTCTGTTATTGACCGAGTCATGCTAAACACGTGGAAAATGAGCAGAGAACTGTGGTAAGGCAGGAATTTTTAAGATAAAGCAACTATCTTCCCTTCCTTCTTACTTCTTCCTTCCCCAAAAAAATGTTATCTCACTGCCTTTTCATCCCTCAGGCAGATCTTCCTCGGAGTCTGGGAGGCAAACAGGGGAGGGAAACAACCTGTTTTTGCAGACAAGGTCCATTGAAATCACATGCTACCACCTACCTGACTGTAGTCTGCCAAATTCTCATGCCCCAAGAAAAATCCTTCTTCGCTCCTTGGCACAAGAGACCGTTTGAAAAGGAAAAAGACAAAGCATGCAAATGTGGTTCTGGATGTGTATTAACCATCTCCCTTCGTGTGGATGCATGCACACATAGAATCGCCTGTGCTTTAGACCTGAAAGTCCCCATAAGTTACAGATTTCTGGAGTGTGGGAGAGATACTTGGGAAATAAATCTCTGTAGCTGTCTTATTCTTGCACTCTCTCCTGGGTGTCCCGCTACCAGATACTGGTGAGTGCAGACTAATGGTTCAAATAGATCTTTTCTCTTACCTGGTGCAGCTGATCTTCTTTTATATTAATAGAGATAAGGATATGTCTTGTATCTTGTCTATTTTCCCTTCAATAATCAATGATCAGCTGTGTTTTTTTCTTTTATGTCCCTGAGCTGAAAAGGTCAGGCAATCAAGAACTAGGATGATCATCTCTGAGAAAGATGCGTGAGAGCTCCCATCAGAGAAGACTTCCCAGCTCG